ATTTAAATAGATTTTTTTCTCTGTAAGGATTTCCTTTTCATTGTAGAAGAATCAAATTAAATTTTAATAAAGTTAGAAACATGATCTCACCATTAATATTCAAAAAAAAAAAAAGTTTATGCTGTGTTGTGATTGAATTGTTTAATTTTCGAGAGCGCCAATGCGATTTCTATCATTTCGTTTTTAAATATATCAGCAATCAGGTATAAATCTTTGATAAAGTATCATTTATAATTAATATATATTACCAAAGACTCACTTTAATCAACAAAACAATAATGCTAATAACGATTTTCAAAAATAGTGTGTTGCCAACTTATTGACCAGAAGGATTTAATTCAAGTTTGAATTATAATCGTTCTAATACTGATCCAAATCTTATGCAAAATATGCAAAATTATAATCTACAGTCAATTTATCAACAACCATATGCTAATAACAATATTATATCTTAGCATTCTTTAATATCTCAATACGCTATGCCTGAAGCTCATAACACTAACATGAACCAAGAAATTGTGGCAGCAATTCAATAGCAACAATTTTCTAGTCATGCTTCTAATATAAACTATCCTTCTGGAATGAACAATCATTTTAACAACAATATCTGTACTCTACTGTGAATATATATATATATTTGCTCTCAGATTTTTGTATAAATTTTAAGATCTTATATAGATTTATAAAAATTTATTAATAAACGGTATTCTTTACTTTTCAAATGGTAGAGTTTGGTACGCGATGTTTAATATAGTAAAGTAAATATCGATATATAAAACTTTAATATAGCGAAAAATGCAATATAGAAAAAACAAGATGGCTTCCGATCTGTTGAAATCTTGTTTTACTATCTGTTAGCTTTAATAGTGGTTCAAATGTCATAACTACGACTTCAATGAGTGTTTCAAAGGAGACGATAACAACATCTATTACCCCAAATATCTTGTTAGAAGGTTCATCTAGCTCTAAGAAAATTGATGAATCTTATGTGGTATTGCAAGGAAATAATTCGACTGATGTAAGTAATAATTCTTCTAATTTTTGTTGATCTTATCAAACCGGTCTAACCTGATTCTCTATCAATCATTTCAGTATTTTTGTAATGGTAATAGGATGACATTGGTTTCTAAAATATCTAATCTATTAACCAACCCGGTTGCTTTCGCAACTTTACTCTAAATGTATCTGAATATACTCAAGCGTCACTTGATCCAAATACTATTTACTCTTCTTTACCATTTGGTAACAATAGCATTGATTTTGGTGGGCCCAAATTATTTTTTCATTTTTTTTGATTTGTTAAACATATACGTATATAATGGTTTAATTTTATCTAATATTTAAAAAGATATGATTCAAAAGTGAATGAGTTAAATTCTGCCATGATGGATCTTTTTAGATTATACCTGAAGAAAGATTAGATGGCATATCTGGTGGTACTCTCAATCATTAACATGGCCACCAGAACTCATCTCTCGTCTGGAAGGTTAGATAATCTTACATTAAATGAAATGAATTACAAGATATTAGATTATTTATTTCTGAATTTCTCTATAGTAGAAATTCTTAAACAAATACTTTAGAAGAATATGTGATAGATAACGCACAATTTAAAGGTAGGTAACCTATTAATATCAATCTGTAAATTTTGTTTATTGATATATTTTTGACCTATTTATATAGCAGGCTACAGAAGAGAGTAATATATTAAACAATAGTATTTTATATAATACTTTACTATAGACCAATCAAACTAGTAAAGAAATGTTGCACTCATCTGATATAACAAAATAGGCTTCATCTAAAAGTTCAACTGGTAATTATGAATTTAATTTTTACAAATTGCTCAATTGATAAATTTTCATTCGATGAAATTATCTTTATTTCTAAAGTTGCAACACGCAGTAACTTCCAAAATATCAAAGAGCTAGAAGAGGAACTTCAACTCGTGAAAACTGAAAATAAGAAACAGGTATTATTCGGAAATCAAATTTTCTATGTTTAGTGATTATAATGAATCATATATTTTATTTGTTTATTTTTTTTTTAGAAAGTTCTTATAGCAAAAGATAAGGACCGCTTGAAAAAGATAAATGAATCTGTAATGGAAAAACATGTAGATAAAAATGAGTAATTAATTAGCACTTTCTGGTAGCGTTGGGCTATAAACTTTATGACCTATATGATTTATATTTGGACATTTGTAAAGGTTTATGACTTTATGATTTGATAATATAATTAGACATTTTAAATTAGTTATAAATAATTTGTATCAAAATATTAGGACAATTCAATTAAAAATATATATTATTATAAACTAAAAGTACCAAAATTAATAATAAATTATCAATGATGACCAATTATTTATTAAAAATTTTTATTATTTTAGATGTTTATTTTTTTTAAAATTAAATTATTTGAATATTGCAGTGTTTTTTGGTTGTAATATATGTAATATAAATTAAAATTCTAATTAAAGTTTCTACATAGTCAAACTATATATGTAAATTGAAACTTGTTGTAATATAATAATCAGAATAGTTTATATTAAATAATACAAATTGAAAAAAGAAACCTTTCAATATTACATGGAAAGCACAACTATAAGATCACATAATTACTATATGAAATAAAATCCCAACAATTTAGATACAAAATTTAGTACAATATATTTGCAATTAAATTAAATTGTAATATTGTATTTGTTCATTTCCAAGTCGTTTGGATATACAAAGTTTCATAAGTCTAAATAATTTGAATATAAGTTCAATGCCAAACACTTTAAATAATTCATTAATTTCGGAAAGGCCCAATTACAAAACATCTAATATCTGATATTTCCGCATCTTATTTTTTAATCTCATCATTTTTTAGCATCTTTCTTTGTTTTCTGATTTATTTTCTTTTTCATTAATAAGCACAGACCTCATAATTAATGTACAAATTACCGCCAAAATTAATAAAGATGCATTTATCATATGTTCCTTGATTTTTAATTATGTATATTAGTTTATTTGCATGAAATAGACAATAAAAATTTGTAAGTAAAACTTATTATACTATAAAAAAAATATATCACTTACAATATTTGGGTTCATCATTTTTTTGGTATAGCATTGACGACAAAACGCCTAAAAGATAATTATAAATAAATAATACAGTATATATTTATAATAAAATCATAATGATCAATAAAATGATTCACACCGGATATATCTGTAACTACGAAAAGCATTGCCTGAAAAATTGCGCGTTTATCATGAGGTTTAGCAAATACACCGGAAAACCAGGCAAATTTAATTGGTTTAAATGCCGCTAAGCCTAACAAATAATATATCTATTAAATATTTAAAAACTGAACATTTTTAATTCATATCGTGCTTACCACTAGTGCAAAAAAAAGTGAAAATATATAATAAATTTCTGTTCTCAACTATTGCCAATACTAAAAAACCAATTATCGCTAAACATTCACTAAAAATCAAATGAAGGCTTCTTTCATTAACTTTATCAGAATGCAAAGATATAGTTAATGAAATGCACCATCCAACTACGTAAAGTTGATAGATATAACACAATGGAGTTTATTGCTGTTCCGGAGAATAAGCCAATAGACAGTGCAATATAAACTCTTAAATCTTTTAAAGTCAAATATAGACTATGAAGATTGAATTTTGCGTTATGTTGAAGATCGCTGAGTGTATCATCATCTTTGCGAAGACAAGTTACCCAGTAATCCCTTTCTTGAACAGTTAGAAATGTGGCAGTTTCCGGGAAGTCTGAAAGAATAAAACTAAGGAAGAATAATTAATAATACATTTTAAATATAAAAATAGACTTAAAAATGGAAGTTAAATATACGTTACAAGGAAACTAATGCTAAAACAAGAGTGGACAGTCCTTCTAACAAGAGCAGCCATCGCCATCCTTCCAAACCCCCTTTGCCGTGCATATATCCCGTGATAAAATAAGCCAGAAGTCCACTATTATAATCACCCAATCAATTATTTTATTATATATAATTAAAGCCAATAATCATTGATAAAAGTTTTACCCAAAAGCGCCAGATAAAGCATTTCCAGAATAAAATATGGCAAATTTTACAGCAAGTTGGGAACTCTTATACCACATACTTAATAGAAAAAATGCACCAGGTACAAAACCTATCCAATGTATAAAAACATAAAATACTTAGCATGTGAATGTTATAGGCATTTTAATACTATTTTATTGTTATACCTGATTCAGCTACGCCTAAAAAAAGTCTTGTAACAACCAATTCACCAAAATTACTTACAGCAGCCATACAACAGATAGCAGCAGACCATACGATCATAAGAGACGATATCCATTTTGATAGAGTAAATTTTTTTATCACCTATTTAATAGTTACTAGTTGAACATATTATTACAAAACTCTAAAATAAAACCACATATTTACCATATTTGAGGGGATTTCAAATATAACATAACCAATATAGAATACAAAAAGTGAGATTTGAAATTGATTTCCATATAATTCAATAAAATATCAATGAATATATATATTATAAAATCCGATTTACAGTATAATATATACTGTATAATATTTATTAAAAGGATTACCTAGACTCTGTTCCAATCCCGCTAATCTAGCGTTTCCTATATCACATAAATAAGAAACAAAGAGAGAATCTCGACAACCATAATCCTTTATCTCAAATTTAAAATGAAAAAATCTTACCAATATTAGTTCTATCTAGACAAGCAACAATATACATGACGAGCAGAATCGAAAGTAATCTAAGATCGATTTTTCTTAACAAAATTTTCTCATTCACCGGTAAAGTTTGTTGAGAAAAGGTATCGTTAGTCGTTGGGTCAATAGAGATTTCATTATGAACAGTTTCTTCAGTTGTAGATTTATCGTCAACATGCATTGTTTCGAAAATAATAAAAATATCAAATTGTGGATTTTATCCCAATTTAGATATGTCATTTTGGACCAGTTAATGAACCTTGATAGTAAAAACCCGTCATCATAGTTTTACCTGACAGAACACGCGCACCTACCTAGAGGTGCCATAATTAGTCATAATTATAATGAATTACGGCATTTTTTGCCGTAATATTTCATTATAATTACGACCAATTACGGCATTGCGCTTAATTTAATTGGCTTACTTTACGCAGTATGAATTTAAGGGCCGAACAAAGAAATTAAGAATTTATGCAATTAGCGTTAGAGTCGAGCATATAATACAGTATATACTAAAAATTTAGAATTGCGTAATGAATGTAGAAATGTAAAAATAGTAACCATAATCGTAAATGATATCAATGTGCAGTTATTCTAACGCTAACAATCGAAATTGAGGAATGACGCAAAGCATATTCATTTTAAGATTGCGTATAAATAATATAAATGAATATAACACTTAATAATACGTAGATTTTTTAGCTATATTTTGAAATGTAAAAGTTGTGTAAAAGACTTTGCTAATATTCAAAATAATCAAAATTTTAGATTATTTAATCTAAAGATAGTTCTAGAATTCTAAGATATTTAGTTTTCATCATAAAATATTTTGGATTATCTAAAATAATTCAGCCATTTACATTTACGCCAAGAGCAAAATAATTTATACACCCATGTATATTTTCGATTATGTTAGCAGAAAACAAATACATAATGAATAATTGATTATTACGTATCATTATAAAGTAATATACCGTAAAAGCCCCTCCCATGGCGTGTACCCTCTACGTACGTACCAGTTTTAAGGGCTAGACCCGGGTACAGAATTGAGCAATGAAAATACCCGGGTACACGTGTCCGACTTTTACGGTACGATTATCATACTTTGATTTAAATTTTAAATCGTGCGATCGGTTACTGTAACAAATTTACCCAAATAAATTTTAACAAGCAAAAAAAAAAAAAAATAATAATAATTGTAATTGTGTAAACACTATATATTCATACAAATTATTATTATATAAATTAATATCCAATTCAAATTATAATGATTTAAATTTACGTATCGGTATTAAATCGCATATACAATCAGTATTTGGGTCATTTCTACATCATGTGTCACTGATAGTTATGTTTTCATTTACTTAATAATAACACTGATTATATATGTACTGTACATAATTTGATATGTAATATTATAATTCTCTTGGGGTTAAGTTTGCCATAGTTATAACTTAAAATATTCACCTAACAGGTTTTCTCTTAGCAACACTCATTATTATTTCGCTATTTCGTTCTAATAAATAATTTTGATTTATATAATTTTCATTGTATAATTTGATTAATTTTCTAATCATAGTTTTAAGGTCACAGGAAATTGATCAATAATATTCTAATCTGTATGTGTACGAGCGAAAACTTCTTTTCTGCTAGTACCCAACTGATCAAGATACAGCAAGTTATATCTCATAGACGATAAAAATGCCACATGAATAATTAAATCCCAAAATCGATCCCTGAAGGTGGTTCATTTAACCGACATCACATAGAGTTAGTATTTGATTAGTGTGATGTCGGTTAAATGGCTTTTAGGTTAAATGACTGTCAGCAAAACATGATGAATCCATCCCTGATAAACAATAAATAAAGGCTTCTGTAGATAAATTTTTAAAAAAAATTGCGATCAAAAAAATGCCTGGTACCATTACACCGACCATAAAATAAACACTGGAAAAACATCCAAATTTTGGTATTTTGGGAAGTGTTAATTTTCGAAGTCTAAATTTTCTGAAAGGATTTTATCTTCAAAATATGCCTCCAGGATTTAATCTTACTGCATTTGATATGGAAGATATAATTCTTGTAGTTGGTAAATTTTGAATCGTTGAATATTTAAATGAAAAAGATTGGAAACTTTCGCCCTTAAAAGTAAGTTTAAGCATCTATATATTTTACAAAAAACAATTGTACAATTAATAATTAACAATAATAATATATAATAACTTTTATTGTTTATTTTAAGCGATCTTGTACATTTTGATATGGATCCAACATAATGAAGATGTTATAATCGTTAATCTTTACTTAATACTCCTCTGTTCGGTATTGATGTTATAAATGAATACAAAATTCTTAGAGGTTCAGAATCAACTTATTCCAAATACACCAGATCTAAACTACTTAGATATTTTTTTAAAAAAAAAAAACCTTCTAAACCAAATTTATTCATTTTAGCATTGATATACTGATTAGCAGGCAGTAAATATAAATTGTCTTTTAGCTTAATACACTAGTAAACTTAAACAACCTCGATTTCTTAACAAAAATTTTTTTCCAAATATACCGTAGAGCACTGAGCAAAAGACCCCCCTTCTTGAGTACCCCCATGCAAGATACCCTGGCGCAAATCACGATATCTCTATTAATTAAATGTGGGGTTTTTTAAATTTCTAGACTACTTATTGTAAATGCGGAATATGTATGTACTTGAAAATTTTTTTCTTTGCGACACAGACCCGCTGCTGTATAATATACCCGGGTCTTTTGTAAGTTTTTTGACGGGTATTTTGTATTAGACCCCGGGTCTTTTGCTCAGTGCGCTACGGTATATGTGGTACTTTTAAATAAAAAATAAAATATATATATAATAAAAAATATAATTAGTTTTGAATCAAAAATATTTACATTTTATACGTTTACTAATCACATAATATAAAATCTGGTAATTTACCAACTACCGTACAGTATAAACTAAAATATCTAGAGTATTTTATAATTTAAGCAATATATATAAGTACACTATGGTTAGCATAGGGGATATAAGTTGCACTATATGAGTACTGCAGTAATATTTGAATATTTGTAATCAATCGAAACTTCGATGACAGGTTTTTTTATAAAAATTGATCCTGTTAATTATGTTTTCTTATGCTTTAGCATTAGCTATAACAATTAATAATGCTTAAAGATAGTATTGTTTAGATTCATGAGTATTATAATAATTAGACAAATCATGATAATGCAGAATATACTGCAATAAATTAGTTTAAAAAATTTAGCTATATTATATTAGCAGAATAAATAGACAATATATAATCAAGTATAGATTTAGGTTTAATAGCTTGTTCATTTAAATGTTATAGTATTTAGTTACTAGAAATAGATCTAAAAATAATAAATCTTTGATTATAATTATTTATTATTTGATGTCAATAATAAAATATTTTGATAATAAGAATAACTATAATTATTAACAACTCTTTTTGCTGATCATTAAAACACAAAATTTTGAAAACAAAAATTAACAAAAAAATTATAAAAAACATACAAAGGCCATTAAGAAATCAAACTTAAAGTTCTAAAGAAAGAAAAAGAGGACTATAAGAAATATTTAGTCTCTTAAAAGTCTTAAGTAAGAAGAGCAGAAGCAAAAAAAGATAAAAGAAGTCAAAAAATTATTGATATTTTTTTGTATTTTATGAATTTTTAGGAAATTGATCTTGAATCTAAATCACAGATCTATTTTAGTGATACAAGAATCACAATACATAATAAAGAATAAACAAAAAATATACTAAAAATCATATAACAAAAATAAACAAAAATAGTAAACAATTATACAGTGCCTAACAAAAGTTTCTCTGCACCTATATTTCATTATAAAGAGATATTATGACCTTGAAACTTTTAGCAAAGTTAGTACATACTTAGATTAGGTTGTGTATTTATTTTAAAGATTTTTTAATTACTGGTAAAAATTTTAGATGAGAGCTAAATTTAAGATATTTTTGTTCAAAAAATAATTGAATTCAAAGAAACATTAATATTTTGTCAAGGTTCAAAGCTAAAAATTCTAGAATTTTATATATTAAAATTCAATCATTTTTGTAGTAGTGACAAAAAATTTAACTCGTTTGGATGAATTAGTTATTGAAAAATTAACTTTTAAAGTTTTGTATTTTATTTTCATCACGTTTGATTTGTTAATGTCTAATATTTTTTATGTTGTAAAATGTTTTTCATGAATATCTCATGATCTAATAGTCCAAATTTGATAATTTTGGTATCATTTGAATTGTCTTAGCAAAACGATTTGAATGATACTAAAATTATTAAATTTGGATTATTGGATATTGAGACAATCTTGATTGAAAAAGTTTTTACTTTGTAATTTTTAAAAATAAACCTCAAAATTTAAAATTTAATTTCTCAACAATTATATCATTAACTTGAGTCAAATTTTTTATCACTACTACAAAAATTATTAAATTTTAATATATGAATTTTTGGAATTTTTAGCTTTAAGCTTTGGCAATATGTTAATTTTTCTTTGAATTCAATTAATTTTTTTACTTTTTTAAAAAAAAACTTCTTAAATTTGGCTCTCATCTAAATTTTTTCTAATAATTAAAAAATCTTCAAAAAAAATATACAATCTAATCTATATATGTACTAACTTTGCTGAAAGTTTCAAGATCGTAGCACCTCTCTATGAGGAAATATAGGTGCAAGAAAACTTTTATCAGGCACTGTAACAAATAACAACAATTAACAATAGCCTAAAAACAACAAGTTATATAGAATATTTAGTAATAATTAATAGAAAAGAGTTTAAGAAACTAGAAAAAGCCAAAGCATAACAAAAAATTATGTAATAAATATAAATAAAGATAATATTAGCAGAATATACTAAAAGAAACTAATTACAAAAAAAGAAGCTAAGACAAAAATATAGACTTATAAATTTTTTATACCATTTCAACATATATGATATTGGTGCATATTTCAATAACACTCACTATATATAGTTTAAAAACACTTACTCTAGCAGAATTGATTATATCTGGACTAATCAGTTTAATATCTAGTTTTTCTTATCATATAAACTAGATACTAGTGATACTAGTACTCGCAGTGATCATCTTATACTTAATATATCTTGGATATTTCCTAATGCTTATA